TTCAAGTAATAAACAGCAAAGAAAGTTTAAATTGAGACTTACCACGGGGCACCGTATATTCGGAATCCTTTAACTGTTACCTCTGAATCTTGTAAGTAAATACTATTTGTCAGGAGTGACTGAACATTGTCAAAGTCCTCTGGTTTCAATTTGGACACAGAGGGAAAGCGGTAGTAATCTTGTTTAACAAGGTCTGCCATGAATTCCTTATCAAATGTCAGTTCATGATTCCCAGCAATCACTATTTTATATTCATATGGTAGGTTTCCTGAAATAACAAAAAAGAGGACTTAATTAGCACATTTTCCTCCCACACCAGCATTGCCGGCACAATAAGTAGACAGCTAGCAGTGACAGAATGAAATACCCAAGATCTGTGTGCACCTCCATGCTGAGCATAAGTTATTAATACCACTTCTCTTCCACTGAATGAAACTGTGTTAAAAATGTACAGTGATGTCACACAAAGCAACGTCATAATAAAAAGCATTAAACAAAACACGCCGGTAGGCACCAAACCAGCTCCAAAGGTGGCATAAACCACCACTGCTCCCTTGCTTTCAACTGACGACACACCGATTTAGGTGTGACTCCGAGTCCTACTGCTTAATTCATGGGACTGCGTCACAGTCAGTAGTCCCGAGTCCTGATCCACGGGAGTGACCTGCATCGAGATCCCTCAGGTGTCTGCGTGGGTGGGAAGACCAGAGGCTGCGGTACACCTCGCAAGCGTGCCGTGAGGCTACCAGGCACGCAGGACTGATTAGGCTGCTGGTGCTGTTGTTTTTTAAATTAGGCACTTATTTGGATTAGTTTGTATGAAACCCAAGAAGAAGTGGCATTTATTCCAGACCTAGCCTGTTCCTCAGAGCTCCAATTCACTTCCAATAGACTTTCACTTTATTATTATAATTCAGTTTATGGTAGTATCTTGTTTCAGTAAGACAGACCCACGTAGAAGAAAGCACGAAACTCAAGCAAGTAGGACATCAGGTAGGAAAAAAGAAACGTGGTTCATTCATTTACCATGAGTGTCACAGATAAAGAGTACAGGCTTGATCACCTCGAGTCAGGGCAACTATTTTCATTGTTTGGAATGAGGATCAGGCCCACAGAGCCAGATTTTTGGAGTTCAGAGACAGATTTTCAAGTACTTGGTACCAACAATCAGTGCCAGATCTTCCAAATAAACCTACCGGGTGCTGAGCTCCCTTAAAAATATGGTCCCATACTGTGGTGTCTTCACAAAACTTCTTTTACAAAATCTGTCCCACTGTGACTTGCCAAAAATCACACGTGAGTTTCCCTCAAAGCTGAAACCAGACTTGCATCTCCCTTCTACTGCCTTCACCATAAGCCCGATTTCCTAGTCTTACACCAAATCATTCATTTTGGTGTATAATCCTAATAATCATTTAGAGAAGGTTGGTTTTGGTTCTTTTGTTTCATATAGGCAGCAAAAATGTACGTGGAAATCTATGGGTCCCTCTCCCAGCTCTGGCACTCCCAACATCTGCCTGGGGGAACATGGAATTGGATGCTATGTATTTATCCTGAATACAGTTCTCCTCAATAGATGTGGCTTTGCTAGTTTAAAACTTGTCTTTCAACATTAAAAATTGTTCGGGTTTGTAGGGTTTTTTCAAAAGTAAGTTTCAAAGTAGAGCTGTAAGTATTTACAAGATTAACTTTCCCAAATAAAACTTAAGAGGACCGAGTCAAAACCCTCTGCTTTTCAACATTTACAGCACGGAAACAGGAATTACATGAGATATATAAGCATCATCTTTGCAAAATTAGTTAATTCTGGATAGAAAAACAAAAAGCTATAAATCCCCTGAAAAAAAACAGACAGACGCATTCATAGACACCTCACATCTGAACAAAATGCAGATCATACATATTCATAACTCTCTGCCGTGCTGCATTGAATTAAAAGCTTGGGGAACGCAATAAACGCTCCTCTACAGTTTATGCCTCAGTCCTTTCCCTCTTCCCATCCCCTTCCCATCTCTGCTACATGCTGCTCTGCAATTCATTTTTATTTAAAACCTCGATGTGGCAGGTACCTACAATTCCTGCTCTCTGTGACTCCTGGGCACAAGGTAAAATTGCTATTTTCTCCTCTCTCAGGAAACATAAAAGATACCACTGGCATGAAATTTGATACACTTGTCATAACTATCAATCCCCCAAAACAAGCTAGATGTGATTAAATTCTCGGAGAAGTAGGCTGGAGAAGTTAAATTCAGGTTTCTGCCAAGTTATCAACATTTGCCAGTTTTAGCACAGAAAACTTCTCGTTTTACTGGATAAATGTTCAGGTTTTACACTTTCTCCTATGTATTTTGATAGATTTGAAAACTGGCGCATTTTGATGTCCAATTAAGTCTTGAACATCTTGCTTGCAGTCAATGCTTTTTGATCTTGACACCCTGAAGAGAGGGCGTAATTTGAAAACGCTCAGGACACGGAAAGACAAACCAGCACTGGCATCAGTGATTATTAAAACATATAAATGTAACATTATACAGAATGGAAATCAGTAGGGAAAACCAAACAGTATTTACCGCAATCGGTGTCAAGACAGCCATTGATTTTATGAAGACTATATAGAGAGGGTCTTCTTGGTCAGCTCTTGAGAGCCAGTAAGGGGGAATGGCCACTGGGGAGCTCAGGACATGGCCACACCAATGAAACGCAGGAACCAACACCAGGACTGAGGAATAAGGCAAAACAGGCCCGGGAAGAGAAACCCCGTGGGGACCAAAGTTCGTCAACATCTACGGGTAAGCTCTAGCTGAGCGGTACTGCACCCCACAGCCTGCGAGCTGGAGGGTAACCAGTGCTGCTGTGGAGGTAATGGCTGCAGAGCCAGGTCCCCCCATCCAGCAACGAGACAAGATCTGCTTTGCTCCGTATTTGTACATACTTTAATATTTACTGTCGGATGGGCAGCAAGGGTCTGACCAGGCTCCCCACGTAGTTCCCTGACGTTATAACCAGTCACGTTTCGCTCTCCTTTCCCGGAGCTGGCCTGGGAGCTAGTGATGGGCAACACAACTCATCAAAATGCAAACACATCAAACGCCAGAGCCAAGCAAAGGGGGGCAGGCGGAGGAAGTCTCATCCATTTCTTCCCTCTTCCCTGAGGAAAGACTATATAGCACTAATCACAGTAATAAATTACCTGCAATCAGATTAGCTATTTATTCATCGCATCCAGGTTCTCCCTTCCTGGAAGGCCCTGTGGCAACGCACAACATTCATTCTCTCTGATACAATTTATGAAATATCTTGGCGTGTTTTCTTTTGGCAGTCCTGCCCTTTGCCTCTAATCTGCTGACCTTCTGTGTTTAATATGGAAGCATAAAGTCATACACAAAATCTCCTACTCCGTGGTATTTTAGTTTCATCTTGACCAGATTAATCTCTGCATATCCACATCCGTGCCGGCCGGACAGAGAGAGACGCTGTAGCACAATACACAGGTTGAAAGGCATTTCCTCATTCTCCATCACTAAATTTTCGTTAGCTACATTTGGTCTTTATTAGCCGCATTTCCTAACTATTACATTTTCCATCATGCATCAGTAATATTGTGCGTTCTAATTTATACTGTGAAGCTGGAAAACAGATAGCAGAATCGCTTTCCAAACTAGGAAAAACTAGAAAAAAATCTGTTTGCTGGGACTTCAGAAACCCCTATTATCAACTCCCAGGGCAATAAGTGAGTTTAGATTAAAAATACTTAAATGTTTAACAGGTAAGATCAGAAGGCTAACATTACACGTACTAAAAATGATTAGGGCACTGAGTCTGTGAAGTGGAGTCACATAGTGGAGTATTTTAAATCCTATACGTGTATACACACACAGACGGGGGTGAGTGTGCACATGTGTATCTTCAATATATTTATATTTTTTTGGCTAAGGTGTTTTTCAACATCTGTCCTCCACAGTAGAAGCAAGAGCACAATGTAATCGTTGATCAAGAAAATACTGCAGTTAGACAAGCTGTTCTCTTCTGCAAGGCAAAAGGTCAGTATCGCTCTTGCTCAAATAAAAGCAAAGATAGTTAACTGTGATTAACTTGTAAAAACAGAATTGTTTACAGTAAATACATTAATCTGGGAGTCTCAGAAGACTTCTGTGACTTCTTGTTTAACAAGTCAACCCTCAAGTGATAGTCCCACGTACCTTTGTGCCCCCCGCGTTCACCCTCACTCCTGTGCCACCCCACCTCTTTGCCAACACAAGGATTTGGTGGCCACAGAGCACAGTGGATCAGGAAACTGATCCAACTGAAAACAGATAAAACAAAAAAGGAGTGAGGGTCTGCGAACGCTGGTAAGGCAGGACTTCTTTTGCTGGCTGCAACCACTTACATCACTTTAAAGTGTTAGCTGAACAACAGACTGACTTTAAATACACCTATTACACGGGAGGAGGGGGGAAGCTGCGAGGGGTGGGCTGTTGTTTTCTTTTATTAAGTTGTTTTAAGTTGCTGGGGTTTTAGGTTCACCTTAAGTACTGTATCCTACGAGTCCTTAATCTGTTGAACAACTGTTCCCATTTTAATGGCATGCTTCATACGAGTACAATTTAGTCACACAACCCCAAGCTCCATAGAACTGCCAGACATGAAAAGGAGTCTGACTGGCAATGAATGTTGACTGCTGAGTCCCTATAAAAATAGGAAATCACATTATTTTTTGACTACTGTTACCTGCAAAACCCACAGGGAAGTAGGGTAATAAGAAATAATGTGATACTAGCTGTCTATATAGTGGTAGGAACCTGTATTTGGACACAGATGCTACACAAGTGCTTTTGATGTGAAGCTCTGAATATGCATACACATGCATTAACTATTCAAACCACACAACACTTCCATGAAACGTGAAGCGTTTTCATGCCTGTTTCATCGCCTCATAGACCCTTTGGCTGTATGTTGAGAAATGGGCTGAGAAACCTTGAAGTACAAATCTTAGTCCCTTCAAAAAAGAGGGAAATCTGTAAGAGTGAGATGCCAGTGCAAGTGAATCATCTCGAATTTATGGTATATCATACATGCTTTGAAAGCGCAAAACAGGTCGTGCAGCATTCACCTATAACCAACCATGTACAGGTCCAGAGATAAACACTGAAGGAGCAGATTTGGTGTCGTTCCTATGGACTTGATTGAGTCCCCACAGCAGCACAGGTTGCCACCAGGTGTCTGGCTGCAGCTACCCAAGCTGCCCACCCATGGGCAGCAGGAGAGGGC